CCCCGTAAAGCTGGGTGAAAGTTTCCACTAAATGATCCCACTGATAATATTAGTCTTCTGGAAGATACAGAAACTACTTATTAGATGCTATTTTTTTTCTTATTCATGGCTTCACATAAGAACATATATCACCGTTTGTTCCAAGTTGTATAAACTGTAGTGAATTCTGCAATTACTGATTCATAAACATTGTACAAATTTGGGTATGTTAACTATTAGAAGTTTACAGACATATGATACTGTGCCCAGAATATAAACACTTTGAACTATGTTTTTCAGATACTGCATTTTAAAATCATGTTAGTATATGATACCATGATGAAAAGTGGGTATGCTTATAAAATATGCCAACTATAAATTATGTAAAGTTTTCTGTTAAAACTGAAAGCTTCTAAAGTTCCTGAATAAACAGAGCAACAAAGTAAAAGCAATTCTGACCTTGACCAGTAGGTAAATAAGTAAAGGCACTAATCAGAACATCACTGTTAAAAAAAAAAGCTTTTGCTTAAATAAATAAAAGAATACCTGTTCACTAGAGAAATATCCATGTACATATTCAATCGCTTTTAATTTGTACTCTGTCAAAACAGCCTAAAAACACAGAAAAACAGAATAAATATATGTAAGCAGAACAGCAATATGCATACATGAAAACTGCCTATGCAACTCAAACCGCGGCAGACCTTCTGTAGCCCAGGGATAGAGAGGCTGATAAAGTCACCATGGTGATGTAACGTTCTACCTTTGGGGTTCCATGCTGTTAGGGATACAATTAGACACCAGGAAAACCCCTGGCCTCCCTACTCACTCCTACAAAGGAACGGAACAGAATTGTAACAGATAAGATTTTACATTAATATAAATTAAGTATTCCTGTAAAAGTGATTGCAGTTTTAAGTCACCCCAAATTCAACCAAACCATCATTTTTAAGGTTAAATGTACAAGCAACTACTCATTCAGCAGATAATTATTTACTGCGCACCTGGCTGATAGAAAAACATGGGTTAAACAAGGTCTAGTCCAGGTTCTCAGTATTTCTACTGAGATATGAACCCAGAAGCCAACCTGTGTGCCTGTCACTAACTGGCAGTGTGGTCTCTGGGAGGTATTTTAATTGCCCCGAGAGGCTCTTCACCCACAAAAGGGAACACCAATCACTACCCACCTCAGGATTAAAATAGTAAAGAGTAAGTTCAGAGAGAAGTTTGTGGCCTTGACCCAGGACCATCTGGAGCCACAGGAAATCATGTATGATTCTCCTGGCAACTACATGCTAAGCTCAGAGATGGAAATACCAGACTATCACAATCTGCAAACAACCACTCATTAAAAATCCACTAATCCCCTTTGTACGGTGCCAGATCATAACTAGATTTATGGTAGGGGTCACTTTCTAGTACATAGAAATATGGACAGTACTAGTATATAGTACCTTCTAGTATATAGAAATATGGTCATATTCCGCCCCCTCCCAAAATCAACTAATCCCTTTGCATTCATTCCAGAACAATCATAATTGTACTTTCTACATGCATCATGCTGCTAGAACACCATGACCAGTCAACAGAGAAACATGCAGGGAGCTTCAGTAGTTGAATTTTCATGAAAAAAGGGAAGGGAATGGGATTCTGGATAATGTACTCTTGGGAGTTTATTATTGCCATTATTGGACACAATCAAAAGCAAGTTTCTGGCCCAAACCCTGGACTGTGTTGATGCCAAGTCATGTCTTTGTTCTTTCATCAGCACCTGAGAGACCCAGCTGTATCCCCAGGCACAACACCATAGCCTGGAGTCAGAATCCCTGACCTTGAACACTGAACCCTCTCCCTTATCAGCTGGGTAACTTTGAGCTGGCAGTTAACCTCCAGAGACTAGACTTGCCATCTGTAAAACGAAGGGTATAGAACCTACACCTGGAGAGCTATTAGGCGGATTAAGTCAAGTGACGCATGGAGAAAGTGCTTAAAACAGGCACACTCTCTAAGTGCTCAATAATGAATATTATTATTAGCCTCTTCTTAGAAAGCAGATTACATATTGCTTTCCCCACTCCGTTCTTCTTCCTATTTCTTTTTCTAGTGTCTTCTTACATGCCTTTGTTTTTAAATGACAATACTGACAGCTAGTATTACCTACAGACATAATGATGACACTCAGGAAGAGATTGCCTGGTTTAAACTGACTTACATTTACAAAGTCTGAGAGCAATTTTGAAAATCCAACAGTAACTCTCATACTTAGATACACTGTATTGTCATCCTATTTTTTTTTTTAATTTTTTTTTTTGGTTTTACCGATTTATTTTCAAAGGGCAAAAACAGTTAAGACAATTTAAATACAAGTCTAAAAAGAATCACTCTCAGTCAGCAATGATGCAGAAATGTGTTCTCACTGCCAGACACTCACCAGCATCTTCTGAGCCTTCTCAGTGAGGAAAAGGGGTCTGATATTTTATTCATATACATCCCTATTTTAATAACCTAGTACTATGTTGATGTATCTAATTATTTGGCACAGGCAGAAAAAGATTTCATCTTGATTTCAGACCAGAAATAAGGGACTTATGTTATGAATTTGACTTTAATCTCTAGAAAAGTTTCTATCCCTTTTGTTAGTATTTACCATGTCATCTTTCCACAATTTAGCAGGGAGAGAATATACAAATCGACACCCTATAGCTTCCAAAAGAAATCAATTCTTCTCCCTGAGCAAATTGTTGTCTCATAAACAGTAGTTTAACATCAGCTCATTAACAAACTGTGGCAAATTCTAAGTATGTACTCAGCAGGCTGACATTTTATTGCAGATTTTCATTGGGCAAACTGGATTTGCAAAAGCAGGAATTTCATTTTGATTCAAAAAAGAATACTCAATAGCATTACAAATGTAACCTAACAAGCAAATTAAAAAAAAAAATTTACAAAGGATGAAGGAAAACAGCATTTTGCTTTATACAAAATGAAGAAAAACAGGCAATTTTATTAATAATTTCATAAGCTGAAATAGGTAATAATCACCAGTGCACAAGGTAACAAGTCTTTCCACCTCAATCAAGGGTCTTGAAAATATGAAAATGGCGAGGAAACAGCCCTGAAATTCTAAGCAAAGGACCCTGTATTAACATACGAATAGTTAGTCTTTTCAGGTTTAATTTTGTAAAGGCTTAACTTTTTGCGCTTAAAATACTGTTAAGCCTCAAGGCTACATTCCAATTTTTTTTTAGTTTTTGCTGTTTACTGGGATGTAGGCTACCTACAATAGTTCCAAAACGAAGCAAAAAAACCTGGCAAGCAGAAGAAAAAAAGCTTTGAAATGCGAGTTACTGAAGCCCATTCCTAAGAATCTGCCTTTAAGCTTAATGTCACATTTTTTATTAGGATACTAACTTTGTCCCGCCGAGGCAACAAATACAGTCTGCTTACAAACTTAAAAATCCCGTCATCATAACCACCGTTAATGGAACTTTTTACGTATTTCTAGTTTTCAGTCATTTTTAATCTTATTGAAAGATGAGGAAATCGCTTAGAAATACGAAATCACTTATCCAATATTACAGTGATTCAAGATTTGTAAGGCGGGCTTGGGAACCGAGGGCTCTGAACATAAGCTCCGCAATACAGGTCTGATTCTCAAGCAGTTTAGAGTCAGCAAAAAAATCTCCGTTTTGTATAGTGAAATGTATCAAGATATAAACTCCTACACTAGACGTTAAAATTCCAACCAGTTTTGCAATCCTCAAATCCATATTTTACACAATCTGCTCGCAGTTCCCCAAAGAGAACAAATCATGAGAATTCGTAACTCAAAGATTGAAGGAATTAAGTGCAATTACCTTTCTAATTTCATCCAGCACCATTTCAAAGGACTTTTTGTCCATCTTGACTACTATCTCGAAGAGGTTTTAACCAGTTACAGTTTCAATTACAAAACGTTCATCCCCGGTCCGCTCCGAGAGTAAAAAATGTTTCCAGCTAAGGAGAAAGACTCAAGGAGCAGCAGGAAGGATGCGCCAAGAGGTAGAGGACTTCAAAGTTTGCAAAAATTTCTAAAAATGGGGACTTATAAAAACTTTTTATTAAAAAACAAAACAAAACCCGTCAGGCTTCCCCGGCTTCTTTACACAAAGCTTCAGGACCGCTCGGGGAAGAGCCGGGTCCTCTGAGTCCCGCAGAGAAAAGCCGGCGTTCGATGGCCGGAGGCAGGTCTGTCCCCGCAGAGCAAGGCCAGGAGCCGCCGGAGGAAGATCGGGGAAGCCGCCTTCCCGGGTGTAGCGGCCCGAGAAGCAGAGGCACCCGCGCCCCCGAATCCTCCGGCCGGCGAGGAGGGAGGAACCAGCGCCTCGGCTGCCCCTCACCGCCGCGAAGCTGGCCTCATGGCCCGGCTCTCGCTCACTCCCCGCAGCTACCGCCGGACTCCTGGGTCCCGCAGCCCGGGCAGCGGCGGCCTGGCCGGCTCTTTGTTACCATCTGCCACCGCTTCCGGGAGCGGGCCGGCGGCCGGCGAGCACCGGGAGCCGGGCGAAGGGGGTCACGGTCTCGGGTAGGGGGGCTCCCGAACACCGCAGCGCCAACAGCGCCGAGAGCGCTTCCTGGTTACCCCCACGGCTTCCCCCGGCTCGTGGGGGACCTTCGATGGAGCCCGTCGCGCCCGAGTCAACTCAACTCTGCGCCGCCAGATTAGGCCCCTCTCTCCAGAGAACCCAAGCAGGGGTCCTGGTGTGGGAATGTAGGTGTCCCTGTGAGATGCCTGTACGTCTCGGAATTGGATACGGTAGAAGTCCTTACCCAAAGCCTGGAAGTTATTTTTGGAGGGTCATGCCCTTAATTCTAGAGTTTGATTGTGCTCGTTTTTGATTGGTAAGTCCGAATTTAAAAGAATGTACGTCGACTGGTTAAGGCATATCCACGGGCACCCCGATTTTGCTGGACTGGAGAGGTCCACAGCTTGGATGGGCGGAAGGGCGGTCACGTGGTAAGCCCGGGGCTTGTGACGTGGAGGTGGGGAGGGAACGCGCTGGGAATGCGGAATCCCAGTGGGGACTGTGTTTCGTTGTGGTGTTCGGTGGTTTCTGGTTCTGAAACCTCCGGCACCCGGGGTAGGCACATTGGAGCTAAGAGCTCACTGCCGCGACGAACTGCGAGGACCTGAGGCTGTCCTCCGGCCCCCAGCCGCCCGCCAGTCCTTCTGCCTCGCCAGTCTTCCCGTCCGGTCATGACGAGATTCTGGGTCTGCGTAGCCGGCGCTGGCTTCTTCCTAGCGCTTCTGGTTTTGCATTCGCGGTTCTGTGCCTCTCGGGTGAGCTGGGTGGTTAGGAAACGGCTTCTCGGGTAGCAGCACTCTTGGGAGGTGGTTTGGGGATGGAGATGGAGCTGGTTCACTCACTGGCTCGTCTCAAAACTGCACCTGAGGCCGAACCGCCGATGAGTTGCCCCTTAGCGTTGAAAAGTTTGTAATGTGGTGTGTGTGTTCGGTTGGGTCTCACTCTTTGCGACCTCACCGACTGTAGCCAGCTGGGCCCCTCCGTCCTTGGGATCCTCCAGGCAAGAATAGTGGAGTGGGTTGCCATGTCCTCCAGGGGATCCTCCCCACACAGGGAGAGAACCTTGGTCTCCGGCATTGCAGACAAGATTCTTTACCGTCTGAGCAAACCAGGGAAGTACGCTGTCAGTTTCCTTATTTTCTCTTCCTCCTCAGCTCCCACCACATCTGCACTTGGCTTTTAAAGTTTTCTGGAGAGCTGAGGAGATTCTTTACCGGCTGGATGTGGATTGGCCGAAGTATTCAGAATACTTCACTGGAGCAACATTTTGTGTTGGAGTTGACTCCCTCAACGGATTGGTTTATGTAGCCCAGGTAAGTAAAACTGAGATTTTTGTTTTTAAAGTTATGAACGCAAGAAAACAGCTTTCCTGTGTTACTGTACTAAGTATCTGTGTACGTTTATGTTATGCCAATTGTGGAATTTGTTTTTTTTAGTTAAAGTTAGCGTTTTGGTTTTTAGCTTGATGGAGGTTAATATTGTTTGGTTTTGTAAACATTACATCATTTCTTGGTTAACCTTTGACTTCTGTTTCTCCTTGTGAAAATAATGATTGCTTCCTTAAAACGGATCATATCTAAGCAGTTATTTTTGTATACCTTCAGAGAGGGGATAACATCCCAAAGGTATTAGTGTTCACAGAGGATGGATATTTCCTACGAGCCTGGAATTATACAGTTGACACACCTCATGGTATATTTGCAGCCAGTACACCACAGGAAAAATCCGTCTGGATCACGGATGTAGGAAGTGGTATGTGTAGTAATCTCTCTTAAATTATCTTGCTAGAAACCTCCTCTTTGCCCATGTTCTTGCTTGTCCATTTTGAAATCAGAGTGGCTGAATCTATTTGTAATTTCTTCAGTGATTTGTGAAACTGCCTTTCTAAATTTTTATATTGTAGTTATGTGTAATTGAGACATTTAACAAGGAGGCTATCATTATTGTGTTCTTTCCTTTAACTTGTCACGGGACTTCTGCATGTTAAAATATCAGTTGCTTTTTTTAGACTACTTCTGTGAAGGCAAATAAATTAGTAGTCTCTAAAAGCTAATAAATGGGGTCTTTGCCTGTTGTTTTCCTTTACCACTTGTCTGAGAGATTTTGCTGAGAAACCAGAACTGCTTTCTTGCCCAGAGTGCAAAATTTGCAGAAACTGCTGGTGGTGTGAATGCTTCTGAAGTCCTACTGACTTTAGCGTGTCTGAAACCTTTCCATTAAATAATTTTAGTAGAGTGTGCAGGTGGTGTTATTGGTAAAGAACCCACCTGTCATTGCAGAAGACGTAAGAGACTTGGGTTTGATTCCTAAGGTGGGAAGATCCCCTGGGGGAGGACATGGCAACCCACTCCAGTATTCTTGTCTGGAGAATCCCATGGACCAGGGAGCCTGGCGAGCTACAGTCCATAGAGTTGCAGAGAGTCAGACACGACTGAAGTGACCTAGGACAGACGCATGCTGCCAGAGTAAGCACAGTTGAAGTTACAGCTGTGAGATAAGTGTTCAGAGATAGCTGTTTGCGTGTGCTTGTGATTTAAGATAAGATGATTCAAGAGATAACCTGGTATTATTATTTCAGGATCTCAGGAAAGAAAGAGATCTTAAAGTATTTCTAGTCTTGTACCAGATAAGTTCAAGGCTTGAAGGTCATTCTGTTTCCCCACTTTGGGCTAATTCAGATACCATTTTGGAATTAAAGAGGTCTCAGGTTTTGTGAAAGGTACACTAACCATATCTGTTCTCAGTACCCAGAAGATTTCTGAGCCTCAGTCCATGAGTCCTTTATTTCAAGCTATATTTTGGATGGTAAGATTTTGGTTAAATCAGAAAATCTAGGTTACTTCTGAGCTCATTGTTAGACCTTACTGAAGTTTGACTATTTTTGCTTTTTTTTTTTTTTCCTTCTCGGGATTCACAGTTAAAAGGAGGCCTTTACTTTTTATTTCCTTCCATTCATGTGATCCTTCTTTATAAAATACTTCACTGGTTCCCAGAAATAAAAAGAACACACGTTTTGCTTTCATTCTTTCCATTATAGCTTGTTTTTCCATGCACAGATCTGAAGACAGTTTTTCTATTTCTTCCTATATTTCAAAGAATAAATGCTCTTTAGTTAAAACATGGCTACATGTTAGCCATTTAAAAAAAAATACTATTTACTGGTATCTTTTTTCCAATTCCTTAGAGACTTTGAAGTTTGTCTTCTTTACTGTTTTTCTCTCTTAATTATTGCTACAAAGTTGAGCTCAAGTCTCCAAAACAAGTATAATAATAAATTGTCAAGATAGGATGTAATGCAAGCTGATTCCCGTTGTTTCCAGTTTGTCATTTGAATGCCTTACCAGTTAGCTGGTCTTGATATGCCTTCAAGTTGGCTTCCGTTAACTGCTTTATGGTTTTTCCTTGTTTATTAATATTCCAGTTTATGCTTTGCTTGTAAGATAATTTTAACTCTATGGAAAGATTTATTCCTTATTTAGGAAAGAAAAGCTAATGGGTTAAGTTTTGTATTTGTTTCCACTTGGAGAAAATGTGGCTTAAAAACAGTCAGTATTGTTATAAGCCAATGTTACTTCAATTAAAAAAAAAACTTTAAAAAATTAACACGAAAATAGATATATGTGTCTATCATAAAGAACTTTTTCATTGAGCTACTGAAACTGGAGATGTGCCCATGAGTAACTGAAATAACAGTTTTCAAACATAAGTTGTTCAAGTTCTTCTTGATTTTCTTTTCTTATGATTCCTTTTTCTTTTTAAATTTTACACTTGAGTATAGTTGATTAACAATGTTCTGTTAGTTTCAGGTGTATAGCAAAGTGATTCAGTTATATGTATAGATGTATCTTGATTTTGTTGTCCAAATAATGTTTATTGAAAGCCATAAGATAAAAAAAGAAAACGATGTACTAATACTTTTACATCATGAGCCTTGTGTTTTAGGAGTCAGTTCTCTTTGGTTGTATTTATTTTATTTAGAATATACTTATTTTGGAGTACATGAGATTCTAATTTGTGAATAGATTTGGCTATAACTAATGAAGCTTTGTTGCTTGTCAAATATAATATATTTAATTATTAGCATTTAAGCTTTTTATTGCTGCTTAATTTTGTCACATTTTTTGCTCTCAGCTTACTTGAAAAATGTAAATGTTTGTGCAGTGGTTATATTTGTGAAATATGCATGTTTGTCTTTATAGGATTCTATGGTCATACTATTAAAAAATACAATTCCTTTGGCGATCTTGTTCAAGTTTTGGGGACCCCAGGCAAAAAAGGCACTGGTTTGAACCCCCTGCAGTTCGATAACCCTGCGGAATTACACGTAGAAGACACAGGAGATATTTACATTGTGGATGGAGATGGAGGGTTGAATAACAGGTTGATCAAATTGTCCCAAGGTGCGTGGCTTAGTTTTGTGTGGTGTTCTAAGAGTGTCACTCAGTTAGTTGGGTCTAATTTGTCTGCTCCTCAGCAGAACTCCAGTCAGTGCCTCTGTCTTCACATTTCCTTCTCTGTGTGTCCCTGTGTCTTCACACCAGCTCCCCTTTCTCTTATAAGGGCACTAGTCACTGGGTCCACTCTAAATCCAGTTATCTCCACCTCAGGATCCTTAACTGTATCTGCAAAGGCCCGGTTTCCAATAAGGTCACATCCACAGCTTTTGGAGATTTGAGACTTGGGCATGTCTATTTTTTGGAGGAATGGGGGTGAGAGGGACATCTTCAGTATGATACAGGGGCATTAAAAATGGCCACCTGTGAAATTGTAATTTTTAAGTTCAGAGAAAAGGTAATACCAAATAACATATTGATTATGGGGGGGAACCAGTTTGAAGGAGAAGTTGGCATGAACCGTAAACAATGATATTTGGGTTATTAAAAATTTAAGTGGAGACAGCCATTGAAGAAGCAGATTAATTGCTTGAAACAGAGAAGGAAATTTTTTTTTTTTTAAGCATATAGATTAGACAAATTTACATAAACAGAAAGCCAGGAAGGCATAATCAGCTCAGAGTGTAATTGAATAGTTTGTAACTCATGACATGCAACATAACATGCTAATGCATAGGTATTCTATGTGTTGTACTGACCAGATGTGTTTATTATTTATAGATTTCATGATCCTTTGGCTGCATGGAGAAAATGGAACAGGGCCTGCTAAGTTCAACATACCCCACAGTGTTACAGTGGATTCCACTGGTCGGGTAAATATATGGTCTGATCTCTGTGTCTAGACGGTCTGATTATATGGAGCGGGGCATGTATCAATATATACGGCTCTTGGTGTGCATATGCCTGTCTGCACACCTGGATGTGTGTGTGTTAGTGAATGTGTGTATCTCAGGGTGTCTGGGCAGTTTCTCCGGGACTGGGTATACCCACATACCCTTACATATCTCTGCAGCCCTGGTCACATGTCATTAAAAACCATTTCACTGAGCCTTCCCTGGCCATCCAGTGGTTACCCCTCCACGCCTCCAATACAGGGGGTGCAGGTTCGATCCCTGGTTGGGGAACTGGGATCCTGCATGCTGTGTGGGGCAGCCAGAAGATGAAGAAGAAAACAAAACCAAAAAACAAAATCCATTTCACTGTATGTATGCCGTGGACTGTATACATCAAAGCCAGTACACTGAATGTCGCTTAGAGCCAGTCTACCTTCCTGTATTACAGTGACAGTTTCCTGAAGAGCTCAGGATAGCCTGTCGCAAACCTAAATGAAACCTACTGTTATCATGCTTTATATGTCACTGAAATCTTTCAAGCTTCCTCTTTAAGTGCTTTGGCACTTTGGACAAACGCTCGTAAGTAGGGTGGAAGTTTAATGATGTGGTACAGTAAACAGCTGGCTTCCCACTGGTCTCAGCCCCTAAAGACGAGGCCTGCTTTTCCACATCTTGGTCTTGTTGGCTGACCCAGGAACCATGAGGTTTTAGGGACTCAGTGAACGCTTGTTAGAGGAGTGGGTGAATGACTGCTCCTCATTGTCTCCTGATCTCCTGCATCTCATTGGAGTACTCCAGCTGTTGAGCTAGCCAGATCCTTAGTGTAGTAGCGAGAACATGCTGGGCTTTGGGTCAAGGCCACATGTGGCTTTCCTGCCTATTGTAAGTTCAGTCCAAAGTATTTAACCTTTCTGCAGTTGAATTTCTTATCTGAAAATGGGACTTTAACGTGCTCTTCTTTGGGGTCCTCTTAAGTCCTCAGTGGGAGTGCTTATGAAACTCATGAAAACAGTCATTCTCTCCCCCTCTTCTTTTTCCTTTTCATTATGATGTGGACGTTCTCCAGCACCATCTTTCTGCGTTCGCAGGTGTGGGTGGCTGACCGAGGCAATAAAAGACTTCAAGTGTTTGATAAAGACACTGGGGACTGGTTAGGAGAGTGGAATAACTGTTTCTCAGAAGAGGGGCCTTCTGCAGTCAGGTAATAGTTTCTTTTTGTCTTTAAATGCTTGTCTGATTTGGTTTCTGTTAGTTTTTCTGAAGAGCTAGCTGAAAGTTTAAAATATTTGTTGTGAATTTTAAACAGGGAAAAGAGGGAAGGAAAGAAGTACTCGGAGAACATGTAATCACGTTTCAGATCCCAGGCAGAGCGCTTAGTCACTTCAGTCGTGTCTGACTCTTTCCAACCCTATGGACTGTAGCCCACCAGGCTCGTCTGTCCTGCAGGCCAGAATAGAGGGACAGGTTGCCATGCCCTCCTGCAAGGGATCTTCTGAGCCAGGGATAGAACCCTTGTCTCTTGCAGCTCCTGTATTGGCAGGCGGGTTCTTTACCACTAGCGCCAACTAGAAAGCCCCTTGCCCAGGCTGAGTGTGGAGGAGCTTCCATGCTATGGGATCCACATGTTTGAGATAGTAAAGGCTGGCCCTTCTCGCAGCCTCTGCCTTTGAGGTGCAGTGTATTTTTAAACATAGAATAAAAAGTAAAACCTCAAGTCTATACCCAGCCTGACACCAATTCTCCATTTTCTGCATTAGTTTTTTTGTGTGTTACTTTTAACACTGTTCAATGTTATGTGGCAGCCTGGATGGAAGGGGAATTTGGGGGAGAATGGATACATGGATGTAAATGGCTGAATCCGTTCTCTGCCCACCTGAAACTACCATGACATTGTTAATCGGCTATACTGCAGTGTAAAATAAAACGTTTTAAAAAAGAAGTAATAACCTAATCTTTGGCTAAGTCTATCATCACAAATCTCTTGTTCCCTCAGGGACAGAGTCAGATCAATTTTAAATGTCCTTTAAAAGAACCCTTCAACAGGCGGGTCCTTGTACAGCGTATTGTACAAGATATAATATTGTAGGGATACGTACCCGTACTAGAAAAATGAACTTTTATGTTAGTTTTGCACGGTTTGATGGTGTGATATCTCCTCCTCAGGTTTACTCCTGATGGGAAATATGTGGTCGTGGCCCAGCTGAATCTGAGCCAGCTCTTAATCCTGGCGGCGCCCCCGGTAGGAAACATCGGCCACTGCTCTGTGGTCAGCACAATCCAGCTGGCTGATCAGGTCTCCCCGCATCTCTTAGAAGTCAGCAGGGAGACCGGAGCCATCTACGTAGCTGAAATCGGTGCAAAGCAAGTGCAAAAATACATCCCCGTGAATAGGTATTTCTCTTGATTCAGTTCATAACTGTTGGTTTCTTTTTCTTGAGGTTTTTCAGTTGGAAGTTCAGATCCTCAGATTCTCAAATTTGCTGTTAAATACTCTCAACTTATGTTGAGGCACAAGGATTTGTTTCTTTATTTTTGCCTGACCCCGTGTCAGAGAGATACATGTTTTTATATTGATCTGAACCAGGTTGTGGGGCATTCTTGTGACTTAGTTCCACTTGCGAGTGTACAAGGATGTTTTAAAGAAATATGAAGAATAGGATGGGAAAGAGGGACTAAGGTGATAACCCAGTAATTTGCCCTCTAGACTCATTTGCTCTGGAGGGGAAGCAGAGAAATTAACATGGGTTTGCAGCGTAATTTATTGAATTTCATATAAGCAGCGCAAACTTTCTCTTTATTTGCGTCATAAACAACGAACTGCTTGAGAGATGGGATCTTGATTAATGAGAACCCACAGGGCGCCGGGCCCTGAAGACGCAGACGTGAAGAGGCAGGGTGGCCTGCGTGCCTCTGAGTAGCTTACAGCCCACACGGCCTGGTGACGGTGGCACATGTGTGATTGGACTTCAGGAAGGAGGAACCACAGGTCTGCATTCAGGAGTCTCTGCAGGGGAATCAGTTTCAGCTCCAACTTGAAAAACTGAGGAGGAGAAAACCATGTGGTTTGGGTAGAGAAGTTATGAAAAATTGCACCCTTGCTGTGAACCTCAGCAGCCTTTTTTTTTAAAGGCCCAACTTGGCTTTGGTTGTTTAGCTCAGGGGTCCCCAACCTTTGGGCCGTGGGCAGGTTGGTACCGCCTGTCAGATCAGCAGCGGCGTTAGATTAGAAATAAAGTGCACAAATGAAGGAATGCACTTGAATCACCCCGAAACCATCCTCTCTTCCACCCGGTCTGTGGAACAATTGTCTTCCACGAAACTGGTCCCTGGTGCCAAAAAGGTTGGGGACTGCTGCTTTAGCTCTAAGATGCTTAATCTCAATCCTTAAACACTGGAATAAAGTGGCTGGTGTCTAAGCCCTTTACCAAAAGGGATCTTAAAAATACTAGAATGTTTTTAAAGGTAGCAAGAAAAATAGGTCTTCTTAGTGCCTCTTTTCTTTTTTCCTTTTTCTTTTTTTTTTACATGAACTCCGTCCACTCCTAACTTTTGTCTACCTCAAAGAAGTTTTAGACTTATCTATATGAGGGTGTGTGCCAAACACTTGGAGCTATTTAGATGAATAATTTTCTGCTTTTTTTCTTTCTGCATCTTTTTTTAACCCGTTTGTTCTGAATATTAGCCTCCCAGTTAAGACCATTTTTTCAGTTTGTTCTAGTTTATTCTCGGGTTGGAAGGAAACTTGCCATATTACAGTCTCTTTCACATCATTCTTTGCCTTTTCTCATATCATTCTCCCTCTTTATCCTAATCATGTGTCATGTGTGTTAGTCACCCAGTCATGTCCAACTCTTTGTGACCCCATGGACTGTAGCCCACCAGGTTCCTCTGTCCATGGGATTCTCCAGGCAAGTTGCCATTCCCTTCTCCAGGGGATCTTTCCAACCCAGGGATTGAGCCCAGGTCTCCTGCATTGCAGGCAGATTCTTCACTGTCTGAGCCACCAGGGAAGCCTCTTTATCCCAGTAATCTCCCAACGGAACTCTGTCCTGTGCTCCAAGGCCATTCATAAGTGTGCTTGTGCCACTGATTAAGCTGTGTGACCTGGACGAGTCACTTTCATTTTCTCTTCAGTAAAACTGGGCTGTCATTGTGTCTCCTCCTTCAGGAAGGCTGTGAGGTTCAGATGTGCAGTAGTGAGGGTTACATGTGCAATAGGTACAGATGTGCCCTTTGGATTCTGTAGTTCCAAGTGCATTGAAGGCATCTTATTAGAAAAGGTCCTTCTAAGTGTGCTGTTTACCTGATACCAGCTGTCAGTTCTGCCTTAAGTTTGCATTTATCAAAATGTCATAAATTTATGCAGTTAGCCAAATAATAAATATACTTTGAAGAGAAATAGTTTGAGGTTTTGTTTGTTTTGCTTTCAAGTCAGCTCAAGAAGTGCAAATGTCTCTTTGAAGGAATATAGGTTAGATTTTTGTCATTTCAAAAATGTGGTGTTTAACTTTGTTTTATGCCAGATTCTTATACAACCTGCCGAAAGTATTATTTCCATGGACCTTGCTAAAACTGTTTATTAGCATACTTGTAATCCTGGTATTTCACCTTTTTTCTCTGGATTAATTGGTTAAATTAATTGAGAAATGCGTTGTATCTTCTGTTAAATAAAAATATTGCAAAGAAAATGCAGTATTGTCTGCTTTTCCAATTAATGTTTGATTTTGTTGTTATAAAAGCAGTCTATAATTATGCCATTGAAGAATTTAATCGATCATTAAATCACTGGTTGATACCAAGCGTATATCCTCCTCTTCATTCACCTGTGAAGTGAGGGCTAAAGTGGGTAAATATTGGGAGAGGTTGTGGCTTTAAGGTGATGGATGAGTACAAGTGATAGTGGTAACTAGCTAACTCTTTTTTTGCATTAGAAATGGAATCTCTTTCTGCCTCTACCATCTAGATCTGTTCTGGGAGAGAGGGGTAGGGTGTTCTAAGTTAGAAAACCAAGGCTAAAAAAAAAGAAAATCAAGGCTACAGGTAATCTTTCTTAACCTACACTAAAGCATTGAGCCTTTAGATTGGAATGTTTGTCCATCAAAGCATGCATGAAGTCTGATGAGAAGCTAAGTAGAGCTATATACTTTGTATAGCTCAGGCCATATTAAAGAACAACTTCAAGCAATGAGGGTGCTAGGTCAAAAGCAAGCAAGGCTCAACTTCCATTTTGCCTTTGTTGATTTTAAACGTTACTGGATTTTAAAACAGGATCGATTGGATAGCCAACATTAAAACTGGAAACTCAGGTTTTTGCTCCTCAGACTCAGGAGAGTAAATCCAAATCAAAGTCTTCTGTAGAGAATCAGAATAAATCAAGTTTATTTATTCAACAGAAATATTCAAAACAACACACTAATGAAGACTCTTAGGTGAGTATCATCTGCCCTAGCTCTTTGAGCTACCTAATTTGGAAAACAAAGCATGCTTGCTTTTCAGCTTTTCTGGAAGGGGCCATTTGACACTTGTGTGACATACTTGATACACAAGAGGGCAGCAGAGTCCTGCTTATGGTAAGCATTTCTTGAATCAAAGTGGGTATCTTTATACTTGACCTATTCATGACCTTCTTTATATTTCTGATTTTTTTTAATCTGAGGCTGTAGTGTTAACCATACTTTTAATTTTTCTTCAGCTTGTTTACATCTTGAGGAAATTGGTTTATAGGTGACATATCTTCCAAGGGTTGTTGGAAATATTTACTGCTTTATTGGACATTTCCATGCTTAAGAAAAAAAGGGTTAAATCTTTTCAGTAATACAAACTAATAACCAGAAGTGAATAACTCATTTTAAACATTTAAAATTTTAACCTGAAGGCATACTTAGTACAATGGAAAATGTATCTGTTACCAGGGTGTTATTCTTTTTCTTCCTACTAGCTTTGTTGTGTTTAACAATTTTGCCATGTGGTTGCTGACTCTTACTGATAAGAAAGATGGATTATTTTACTTAGAGGCCCAGTCATTTATCCACTATGCACTTACCCATAGAATTCCTGAGTTTATTAAGTAAATCAATCCTCTGAACATTTAATGACATTTAATATAGATACTCTCTTTGTATGTAAGAACTGAGTGGAATTTGAACAATGAAAAATAGCACTCTTTGGAACTTTTGTTTCTTCCATTGTAAGCAGTGAAATGATACTGTTATGATTTAGTTCTGCTTCTGTGATATTTATAAAGAAAAGACATGATGTAACACTTGAAACAAACATGTTTTAAAATGAGCATCTTGTTAAGTGGAACCCTTTGAATAAAACCTTTTAAAAGGTAGATTAAATTACCTTTGTAATGTGTTACAAGTGTCATATCCTAAACTTGCTCCTCAGTTTTCAGCCACTTCATTCTCAAGAAAGAAAATGTTAGTAGCATGGTCCAAATCTCATATTTATTCTTTACCAGAATCAATGTTAAAATCGATGTGTTAAAATACTATAATGTGTTAAATTTTTTTCCCGTAGGACTTTTACATACAATTGGCCACAATCAGCGAAGTTTATGTAACATTTTTCTTTAAACGTACAAGAGTATTTTAATGACTTGATGTTTACTGTATTTAAATACTAATTTTTTATTAACTAAAAGGATATAGGAACTATGTATACGTTCAGTTTTGATCACTGAATTTAAAATTTTATGTAGTTTTTTTCTTTGTGTTTTCTGTGTGTGTTTAAATAAATGTGTGTTTTCTGTGTGTGTGTGAGTTTAAATAAATGTGTAAAGAACATTATGCCCAAATAGGTCAAAACAGCTATCAAAAAAATGAACTGCAAATTACCATGGCTAAATGCAAGTTACATACATTTAAAGACTCATGGAGGAAAGCCTTCTTGGCAACAGATTGTCTAAAAAAGATTTGAAAGGTTTGTTGGCCAAAAGTACTACAAGCCTTGTTAGGAAACAATTTGTTGCAATCTCAGATAACAGTAGGTGTGAATATAATGGCAAGTTTATAAGACAGGATAGTCTTTGATCCTAGTAAACAGATCTGAGGTCTTGACGTTTCCTTTGGAATGCCACATTTTAAGGGAAAACCCCACAAATAGACTCCAGTCCCAAAGCAGGTGACCAAGATAACACAATGTTAGGAAATAATTCTGAGACCTTGTAAGGTCTTAAACGATCCTTAAATGATCCGTAAACGACTCAGCGAGCTTTCCTCTAGAACTAAGACAATAAACAGAAATAGCAGAGTAGCCCATTGGCCCAGCCCAGTGAAAGAACCTTCTAGCAAAGAGCTGCAATGAAAGTGAAGTGAAAGTCAAAGTCACTCTGTTCTGTCCCTATTCTTTGCGGCCCCATGGACTATAGACCATGAAATTCTCCATGCCAGAATACTGGAGTGCCAGATCCAGGGGATCTTCCCAACCCAGGGATCAAACCCAGGTCTACCCACATTGCAGGCAGATTCTCTACCAGCTGAGCCTCAAGGGTAGCCCATGAATACTGAAGTGGGTAGCCTATTCCCTTTCCAGTGGATCTTCCTGACCCAGGAATCGAATGGGTTTCCTGCATTGCAGGCAGATTCTTTAACTGAGCTATGAGGGAAGCCCTTAGCAGTACAATGGACTGTGTTAATACTGCAAGTGGTAAAGCTCATTGGTACAGAACTTGAAACCTGGAGTGAGTTTGACCTGAGTTCTGATTCAGGCCCTGCCACTTACTGTGTTTTGAGGCTCTCTGCTTCATTTTTCTGATTTGTGAAATGGAAATAATAGTATTTTCCTCATAGGATTCTCGTGAATACAAATAAGATCACTTTCGGAGAGCATTATACTCAGTCCCCAACACACAGGAAGTACTTACCAAGCCTGGAGAGAGTCTCCTGCAGTATTTAAGCCAGAGATGGGCAGCCATGCCATCTTGGACCCTTACGTGGGAAGAGGACCCTCCCTATTTATGACTCTTGTGTTTAGTCACAGTATTGAAAACTAAATGTATAGTTGTGATAGACTAAGGTACCTATCACATAGAAATGCTATTTTTTAAACAGATTTTTCAGTTTGCATTAAAGCTATTTATCAAACCATCAGATACATATGTGCCAGTTACCAGGAATCCAGTGATACACAGGGTAAATTTTCTGGAATTTACATTCTTCTTGGGGGGGGACAGAACAGTTTGAATGGAACAGTGAGACACTGATTAGAATTTGTGGTGCATATTAACACTTGGTTGCCTAAATAAACACCCATTCCCAATCTTCTCCTTTACCTTCTACCACCTTAGATACTGGAAGAGCTAGGTGCTTGCTTTGTAGCATCTAGAGGTAAACATGTGATGTGGTACGGTCTGTCCAATGTGGTCCTGGGACTTCTGGAAGATCATCTGGTTTCTTTGACTTAGAAAAATGTGTCTTCAGCACCATCTTCTCTCTTGAACTTAAATGTGATGCCTAGAATGACAGCAGCCCTTTTGGAACTATAAAGCAACAGACCAGCATTCTTGAGGAAGGCAGAAAGCTGGAAGGAGCCTGGATTTTTATGATTGGGAAACTACTGAACTGGTCTTGTTCCTTTCTCCAGACTTAGGATGTGAGATAATTAAATATTTTAGTTACTTAAGCCTCTGTTAGTTGAATATTTTCTTGCAGATTAAATTATTCCTAAGAAGTTCAGTGTTGAATTAAACTATTAATTTGGGAAGGATGGATATTTTTTATGGTTTTAAGGATCTGTATCTAAGAAAATAAGTCACTCTGCTTTTGTGTCTTATGTCCTTTCATAAGATTGTATTGGTGTTCTTAAAAAAAAAAAAATACACACCCCGGATCTTTCTTTTGAGACACATTTTTATTCTTGTGTCGAATTTATCCTATGCATTTATTAATAGTAGTTACTATAGTAGGATTTCCCGCCCCCCATTTCCAGTTAGTTTTTGGTGATATAGAGAAGAAGTATCAATTCTTTTTACATATATCTACTCACCTTTATAAGTCTTACTCATATTAATTAGTTATTGGAGATACTCAGATATTCTAGGTTTACCACTCTGAAAATAAGGGTAAGTATGCATCTTTCAGTATTTTTATTGCTTGTTTGATTTTTAGACTTTCATTGCATTAGATACACTTCAAAACAATGTTGAATGATAGTCATGATATGGAATATCCTTATTTCTGGTTTTAATGGAAATGGTACTTCACCAATTTATACAGTATTTGCTATTAAGTTTTGATAATTTTAATCATTAGGTTTTTCATTGTCTTGGCTTTTTCTCTTGAGGGAGAGGGCACAGGATCTTAGTTTCCCCACCAGGGGTTGAACCTAGGCCACTGCAGTTTTGAAAGTGCTGAGTCTTAACCACTGGACCGCCTGGGAGTCCCGTCTTGGAATTTTATTAAAAATACTTACTTGGCTAATTCATGTCAATGTATGACAAAAACCACTCCAATATTGTAAAGTAATTAGTTTCCAACTAATAAAAATAAATGGAAAAAAAAATACTTAACTTGGTTTTATAAAATGGTTTGGGGGGTTGATGTTTACAATATATTAATTAAAGTTATAGTATTTTCCACATTTATTGTTGGGAAAAAACCTTACTTGCTCAACGTTTCTTGCTTGGGATTTTATTCTTGAAAAAAAGAGGGCAGTAGAGTTCCATTTATATACACTTCATTATATA